CATGTTTGTCAAGCATTTTGATAGTGTAGTGAAGAACACCATAGGGAAAAAAACCCCAACAAAACAAAACAAGAGGAAATGGGTTTTCTGACCTCAAAGCAAGATTTGAATAATGTGCAATAAATAAATCCTGAAGCCACACATTGAACAATGAGAATAAAATGAAACATTGAAGAACTGCTCATTAACTGAGCATTTTATTTCCTGCATATGGAATAAGACAGAGGGTTGCAGAAAAATGCACAAATATGATCAAATATTTCAAGACTATATCATAATTAGTCTTTTATCAAAAGATTGATATTTTTGGTCAGCTGAACACACACAAAAAAAAAAAGGAAAATAATGGCTTGTGTTCAGTCCAAAATCAATTTTTTGTTTATTCTTATCACCAAAATAAAAGCATTTTCCTTATAAGCCAAACTTAGTTAAATTTTGAAACTAGTCATTACTTTGAATTTAAAAATTATGGTATTTTATTTTCAAAATGTCAAACCACACTGCTGTGGCTGCTACAAATTTTGAAGGGTATTTTTCAGCTGAAGTCTCCATACAGTTTCCATACATACTTTCAGTTAACCTGAATTTTCATTTTTCATACAATAAACTATTCAAGTAAAACACTGAATTAACCTCTAATCTTAGTGTGGGTAGGGAGAGGAGTCAGGTGAAAGCTGAACAACCAACCCAAGGCCTGGGAGTTTGACCTTTAGACTCTGAAAGATCAGTGATTTGGTCTTTTAACTTAGCTTTGGATGTACAACATAGATGCAACAAACCGTACATGATAAGGGAATATTGGTTAAGTTTTATGGCTTTGCAATCCAGGACGTTATATTAGATAATCAGAATCAGCTTTTTCAACTTGAAAAATCTATTTATATTAGCATTTGAAATTTAGCATAAGTATCCTGTTCATCCCCAACATTATATATATTGATTATATGCTTATATAGGCAATTATTGTTACACTTCAAAACAGCAGCAGCAGATAGAGATTAATATAATTTTATGGAATGAATACAGAGTGCACTGCTACAGGTTTTCCACTGAAAAATTAGATATGGAAATGGGCATGCTTGTTGGTCAAGTTACCACATCTCCTGAAAGGACAGTTCTTTGAGTACTGAGTTTCGGTATGTTAGAAGGCAAAAATGACAAAGATGCCCATTAAGATGAATGGGTGGAGGAAGCCAAAGCAGTAGAAAAAAATGGGGAAAAAAGAGACACCTAGAGAGAGAGATGTCCAATGGCAATAGGGAAAATCATATAAGGCTAAAGAGAGAAACAAGAAGGAAAATAAAAAAATCAGTGCTACTGCAGCATCCATCAGAGAATGTAATTTTCAGCTGACAGTCTCACTCTTGACTGGAGGCTGAGAACGGTAGGATATGCAGTCTGAAATACTATGAAATCAAAATAATCTGTTTTCTTTCCATACAAAGGTATTCGGCTAAGCTTAGAGCTCAAAATCCCCTTTAGCAATGTTCTCAGTAAATACCCCAAGTATGAGAACATTAAATAAAAATTCAGAAATAATTCGTATTCTCATCAGAAACCAAATAAGTCATGTATGTTCTAATTCAGTGGCTTTGACTATAGATTCTGAGTGTCCTTTCCACTACCCTCACAGTTTAGCTTACAGGTTTTAGTATTTTTATTATATTTGGATGTTTCTTGATAATCTCTCGTGTTTGTAAGTTTACTATATAACATGTGAAGAACTGTAATTACGTGAAGAAGGTCAATGTTGCAGATTGCAGAGTCGTAAAATTATTATTTTTTTAAATAAAATCAAACCCTCCTAACACTACTACCCATCTGACTTCAATCCATGATACCAGTCCAACAATCAATCACCAGGGGCATTGGACACCCATAATTAGATTATAAAATCATAACTATAGTCATTTTACGTCTGCTTGCATAATTACATCAGCATGCTAATATCCTTTTAATGGTCTCTAATGATGTAATAAGAAATAATGGAATTTATTTGACAGCTACATAACCATTAACAAAACATATTAAGCATAACTATTACTTCCATAAAGATTCAGACTGTATCCAAAAGTGACAGCTAACATGTTGGATCTTTTCTTCCTCATTGAAATATTTCTAATTATGAATTCCCCAAATCTATTCCCACTCATCTGCTTCACAGGGCGAGCAAAGTTTATGTCAATGCAAACTTGACAACAAACCGACTGTAGAAGTGGACTGAAAGCTCTGGGAGCCAAGCCTGAGGCTGTACTGTGAATTGCAGGCCATCGGTTAAAGTTGGCAGGATTGTGAATGAGAGAAGATAAGACAAACTGATTACTACCATGCATCAACTAATCAAGAACTAACCCAGGAATTGGCAGGAATCCACAGCAAAAGCAATTGTTCACTTGCCAAACTCCAAAGCACAGGAAAAAACTAAAAATATAGGAAAGAAGGAAAGATATTTGCAGACAAAACTAACTAAAGGTAGTAATGTATTTGTGAAGCAGTCCCTTTAAAATTAATTTTTTTTCAGAGAAAAGGACAAGAAACTCTTAATTGAGAATTTAAAGAACTTTAGAATAACTCACCACTCACCTTCTCCTCAGTTCTTCTTACACTATTCCTATTGAATGCGATGGCTTTGTCTATACTCTCAAATTAACCCTGATTCTCAGTAACATGTCTTTACTCTGAAATCTTTGCAATAGTCTAAAAAATTCAGGTCTACACTGTTACTTTCTTACCATTCAGAATTCTTGGAAGGAAAAGAGAGAATTGAGAATTTTACACCAAGCTAATACTCAGGTCGGCGTTCAAAGTAGACTTTTTAAAAAACTGAATCCCTAAGAAAAAGACTACTTTTAGCTGCCAGTAAAATAAAATAATTTATATCGCCCATGATGCCTTAGGCCAAGTAAAAAGCATATTTCCTGAGATGCCTCATTCTCACACACTGATATGTCAAAGGTGGATTAAGAATAACCATGACATCAAGTCTTTCCTGAAACCCCTCTCCATGATGCTACTCAGAAGCCAACCAGAGCCTTCAAATTCATACAGTTTTCCAACAATGGCTGCGTAAAGATGACAAAAGAACAAATCCCCAAAGCATTAATTCTTTGCTTGGTAAGGCTTTTTTCTAAAGCCTCTACTACTGCTATATCTACTGGCCAGCTCCAGATTTCTTTAGCATTTCATGGGTTTAACCTGAGTCAAAGCATCTCATTTTCTTGAGTAAAGAAAACTTACAATGGATGAATTCTTCACTAACTTGAGATTTGGGATAATATTTCACAGATTTATAGATCTTTTAAAAAGGCAAAGACCGTGTTTGTGTTAATAGACAGAATACTTCGTCCTGTTTGGAGTTACTATCATTCAGAATGCACTTTTAAAATACTGACCATACAATACAAGTACTTTCGGTAGGGACATATTAATGGACACAAAATAACCAGCTTCCCTAATGTCACACATTAAAAAAAAAAAAAAAGGTTGTTCATAGCTAGCTATATCACTGGAGGGATATTTTTCATTAGAGAATGAATCTACAGCCTGCCAATTGCAATGTTGTTGTGATATATCAAATGATAAAAAATAACCAAAAGGCTTTATGCTAACAATTAGAAAGGTAGGTGAAAGTGCTCTTGTACCGTAAATGAATGACATTAATGAAGCAGAACCCATTGATTCCAGCAGAGAAATTGTTCCATGGGATTACCCCTTTAAATGTGCAGCAGACTTTATCTGCTAGTATTCAAAGTCAAGGTTGCAAATTCTCTTTACAAGGAAGACCATATAATATTCTCATTTTTTGTAATTTCAAAACTCAGTTTTCATAAAAAATACATTTCATAAAATGCAAGGAAAAAGACTTTCAACAATGCAAAGAATTGTTCTAGCAAACAAAATATGGGAATATTTTCCTTCTAAACAACAAAACCAATATGCCTGGTATTTGTCAGATTTCTAAAAAGATTTTCTCACCAGTAGTCTATTTCTCCCTACATAAACAGTAATAGAAGGGGTAGATTTTTTTTCCAAATAATAATAAACACTTCCACTAAAGATGAAACATCTTCAGACTATGGCTTAAAACACAGTATTAAATGTTGAATTACATTAACTGGAACTGAAGGTTAAACAAAAGCTGATGGCAGCACAAGTAAGGCTGAGAAAGATGCTGCACTTCAGCAACCTGACTCATGGGCCAAAACAAGCCACCCCAAACCCTCTGAAACATAGGCAAGAACTGGATGCTACCCAGACATCAGCTATTTTCTGTGCACCAAGATGTGACTTGTTTCCAGCAAGCTGTCAAAAACCTCCCACAGCTGACCCTTCTTTTCCATTAGTTTTCTATCAAACTATTTTTATTTTCTATTTTACAAAAGAAGAATTAAGTTTTGTAAAGTAAATGTTCCTACCAAAATGATTTCAGAAAATCCCCAATCTAAAAATTTTTACCGGACACGGCAAATCATAACCTTCTAGTTCAGGAGATTAACATGCAGAGCATTCATCAGTATGAATCATATGAAGAAAAACAGTAGCTCAGCATAACTGAACTCCCTGTGACTTGTTAAATGAGTAGTTGACCAAGTGGCACGACCTAGTGTGCCACATGCCAGACTCAAAGCCAGGGACCCAAGTTCTTATCCATCTCTGATGTCATTTTCCCCCTCAGCAATGCTGGGTATAATGACCCTTCACAAGACTTTCCTCACCTAGAAACTGTTAAATAAGGTTGGTAATATTTTTACAGCACTTTGAACAGACTATTTTTCCCTACGGAAGCATAAGAAAATTTCAGTCTTTATATTTTTTTTAAAATAATTTGCTCCTAACTGTGTGTAGGGGACATTATAAAGATCATCACAATATTCTTTTTTGTCTCTAACATGGTCTCATTAATTTTGGCATTAAAGAGTAGATATTTCCTTGTTAGACAAACTATTCAAAAATAATGAGAAATCCAATAAAATAAAAAGGGGCAAATTCCATGTACGTACTTGACATCATCGAAGACACTCATCTGCAGCTTCAGGAGATCTGCCACTTCCTTTATTAAGTCCAAGCCCTTTTCCACACTCAGGGGGCTGTTGAAAGGGAGCAAGAAAACAGAGCATTACGAAAATGGAACTCATCAATACTTGAGAGGTTAAAAGTCCCAAAAGAGTTATCACCTTGGCCTCTTAGAGTCTGAAAGCCACCGCTAACTGTATTCCTGTCACATAGTGATCGTGATATCAAGGGAATTGGGATCAGGTGCTTCTTCAGGCATGATGAATCACCTGAATTTTCCAGCAATAAGACAAACAATAAGGTGTAAATGGAATTGTTAGGAAGTGTAATGGGCCCATGATGCAGCAACCAGTTCATCTCAGTCCTCAATAAAAAATGTAATAAAGTAAAAGGACAGAAAGAAAGAAAAGGATTGACGAGACAAGGAGGGAAACAAACAATGAAAGTCAAATTGCAGGCTCAGTATCAAATGGACAAGGGAAAAGCATTTTTTTAAATTCATTAGTTTTTAAAATGAATCCGCCCAGTGAAAGGATACAAAATTATTATGAGTTTGAGAGTAAACAATGGAGCAAGGCATACAGTCCAGAGGACACTGATTAGATACACAGGATTTAGTTTGGTGTCTGCATGCACTGCTGACAGAACCCACTTTAAATCTTTTTAACCTTTGTCAATGCCACATTTACATTTTTTAATTTAGAAAACAGGTTGCAATCAAGCCTAACACAAGAGGACTGCTATAATTTAAAACAGCACTTATCTAGATGCAAAATTTATATTTGCAAAAATTTCAGGTTATTAGAGTCATTACAACTCTAAAGATGCATTAAGAACATTCTGTCCCTAATATACAGATCATACCGTGTTTAGTTGTTGTTCAATACTGTGGAACCAAATACAAAAGTATTAAGAAAGTAAAAAAGATAAGGAAATGATATAACAGTGTCCAGTGAGAACAACAGATACAACATTCTCTGTCTAAATTGTGATTATAGAATTATTCTCAACACTGTTAAAGCTGCAAAGATCATAAAATTAAACCCTACAAGCTTGATACTTATCTAACTTATGCCACAGTAAATCAGAAACAAGTTTGATGAGACTACCCCAGGGGAAAAAAGGTTCTGTATTTTTTCCTTCAAGGATTTATAATAAGTAGGAGAAGGAGATGTCAAAAAAAGTATGTACTATTAGACATGATCTTTTCAACTGGACTAAGAGGAAAAAAAGATTTTTTCAAAGCTCTGTACCTAGGTTATTATTTCTGCTTCGCAGTGAAAGTTTTTGAATCTAATTTTATATCACGGTAACCAGTGCCACAATTTTATTTATTGTCTGCAATGAGCACTGTTTATTTATTTATTTATTTATTTATTGCACTGGGTTCTGCATACACTGCCCTAAGGGCACCTCTATTTAAATAATGGGATGTCTCATGTGGATCTCAGTTAGGATGGAATTGCTCAGCCTCCCTTCATGCTACTAACCCAAAATGCTCTAGAGACCTCCTGTCACACAAGCAGAGGTAGCCCCTCAAGGCACCAGATAAATTTAGAGTTTTTCTAGATGCCTAAGACAGAAATGTTCTTGTGTGAAAGTAACAAAAGAATCTGACTGTTTCTGTAAGGAAGAAAATGTACTATAGATTATTCATAAAACCCCTATATTTCAAGGACTGACAGTGGGTAGAAATGTGATTATTCCCATCACTATGAAAGCAGATTGTCATAGTGACTCAGGGGCTTATGTGTTAATTAAATCTTTTCTCCCAAAGATGTTGGCTTAAGTTTTATGGAAATGATTGGTGTCAGCAAGTGGGCTTTTACTGTAATAGCAAGTCTATGCAGCGGCGCAGGCAGTCTGCTGCATACATTGGTGTAATTCTTTTACCGAGGGAGTCTCATTTCTAAAAGCTCAACCTCCTACTCCCTGCTTACCTCTCCTCCCCTGAAAAAGCATTCCCCAGCTTCAAACCCAAGGTATGCTGCTACAAGCCGACGTAGTAACAGCAATGGGGGACGTACTCAGAGCATTTGAATGCTACAGTCCAGCAAGAATGCTGGAGAGAAAATGGGAAATAAAATGGTCTGGAAGGCCACTCTTTTGCAAGCCTGAGCATCCAGGACTAGTCTTAGTAACTCTTATCCAATAACAAACCAAAACACGTAGGTTCACAAACTCGCATGCAGTTTGTTAAGTCAAGAAATTGTCATTCATAACAGCCCAGGAAAGCTGCAGAACCAGTACCTGTGTACTTTTCAAAAGCACGATGCTATCTGTTATCCTCTTTGGTACCAGTACTATTACAGATCATACATTTGAGGATTCACATTAAGAATGATTAATTTGTATCACAATATTTTCCAATACAATTTTTCCAACTTCTTAACATCAAGACATACTAGTACTGTTTATTACTGTTCTGTGACAGTTGTATTGTAGGAGAGCTGAATATTCAAAACCTTTCTCTAAAAACGCCAGAACATCGTTCTCCACACTCTATTTCTGCTTTGCTTTTGTTTAGTGTTGCATTTTGCTCAGTGTTGCATGGTTTGTACAGCGATTGCCTTTAGCTTTGTTTGCACAGATAGAGTACACCGTTCCCACCAGCACAGTGTTAAGCAAACTACATGCTGCATTGCAACAGCACCATATGCCCACGTCACCCATCTGATTTCAGGTTTATACAAGGAGTGTCACCAGAAGACAACTTGCAAACATCACCCATCCTCCTTCCCGCGGTCTTCCCACAGTCCCTAGTGCAAGTATACAGTACTGGTGGAACAGCCCCTGTTCATGATCTTTCACGTACTATGCTTGGTTTTCTGCATGCTTGATTCAGTCCTACATGGGAAGAAGTTGCTGTATTATGGACTGGTGGTTGTTTGGGTTTTTTTTTATGAATATGATTTATCTATTGATTGTGAGGGTTCAACTACTACAGAATTAATTCAAAGGAAAGTGTTACATAAACCAAGAAAGACAAAAAATAGTTCTTCAGATAAGGAACAAATAGTGAGATACTCCAGACAGAAATTGTAACAGTAGAAAGAAGACTCTCTAGACTCAACCCTGATGATGAAACTATTTTATCAAGGCCAAAGACTTGGAGGAAAGCTAAGGGTGGGGATAGGGTTCTCACTACATTATTTGAACTGCCAAGATTACAATAGAATAGAATAGAATAGAATAGAATAGAATAGAATAGAATAGAATAGAATAGAATAGAACAGAACAGAATAGAATAGAATATTTCAGCCGGAAGGGACCTACAATGATCATCTAGTCCAACTGCCCGACCACTTCAGGGCTGACCAAAAGTTAAAGCATGTTGTTAAGGGCACTGTCCAAATGCCTCTTAAACACTGCCAGGCTTGGGGCATCGACCACCTCTCGAGGAAGCCTGTTCCACTGTTTGACCACCCTCTTGGTAAAGAAATGCTTCCTATGTCCAGTCTAATCCTTCCCTGGCACAGCTTTGAACCATTCCCACGCATTCTATCACTGGATGCCAGGGAGAAGAGATCAGCACCTCCCTTTCCACTTGGTCATTTCAGCTTCTTATAGTTGGGGTGGAGAGAGGGTCCCCCCTTCTTGGTGACAGTTCTTGATGGCTCCAATTCACTCAGAGCAGCATGGCACAGAGTGAGCCTCTGGGCTATGGCCCCTCAGTTTCCAGACATGCTACAATACAGGTCCAACCCATATGCATTTTCTTTTGGGAGCCTGTGATAACACATTTCAGTTACACCAGTAATGGTGATCCCTTAAAAGAGAAATCACAACTTACATAGGCCTCAGACATACAAAGCATGTACTGGGAAAAAAAAAGCAGCAAAAGATCTACCCATGCATGCTATTTATGCTTTGCAGGTTCTCTTGAGGTTGGCTAACACTTTCTATGCCAAAGAAAATGAATGGCTCCTGCAGTGTCTTTAACAGTCCTTCTTGATTTTACCGCTCCATTTTTTGATTGCCTTGAAGGTCGCTGAACACCTTCGATCTAGATTTTGGCCTTTGGAAGAATAAATTGTTGGATGGCATAGCACCTTTTTGCAGATGACATAGATGAGATAGCACTTACTTTGGGTTTCCTCCCTTTGCTCTCATTTCACTTGCTGTAGATTTCTTCTTTGCATCTTCCTTCAAGTTAACTGTGCTAGGATATTATAATAGCAGCTAAAACAAAATGTGATTCATCTCACAGTTTAAAAGAATTCTTTTGGCATCCTTTTTAGGTTTCCAGCTCCAGTTCTCTCCAGCTTGGAAGATGAAAAGATAGTTAGAAAGTACAGAAAATTCATGTAAAACTGCGCTGGTTTTGGCTGGGATAGAGTTCATTTTCTTCATAGTAGCTTGTATGGGGCTGTTTTGGATTTGTGCTGGAAACAGTGTTGATAACACAGGGATGTTTTAGTTACCGCTGAGCAGTGCTTACGCAGAGTCAAGGCGTTCTCTGCTTCTCACCCCACCCCACCAGCGAGCAGGCTGGGGGTGCACAAGAAGCTGGGAGGGGACACAGCTGGGACAGCTGACCCCAACTGACCACAGGGATATTCCATACGGTATGACGTCATGCTTAGCATATAAAGCTGGGGGAAGCAGAAGGAAGGGGGGGACATTTGGAGTGATGGTGTTTGTCTTCCCAAGTCACCGTTACATGTGATGGAGTCCTGCTTTCCTGGAGATGGCTGAACACCTGCCTGCCAATGGGAAGTAGTGAATGAATTCCTTGTTCTGCTTTGCTTGTGCGCGTGGCTTTTGGTTTACCTGTTAAACTGTCTTTATCTCAACCCACGAGTTTTCTCACCTTTGCCCTTCCGATTCTCTCCCCCATCCCACTGGGAGGGAGTGAGCGAGCGGCTGTGTGGGGCTGAGTTGCCGCTGGGGTTAAACCATGACAATAACTAACTTCCTTCTATTGCTTTATCTTCTAATGCCATGTACTATCTGTGAGTGCTAGCCTAAATATTATTTTTCAGTTGACAGATTCAGACCCTACTGAACGAGTAGCAGAACTCTGTCTCGCTCAGATGCCAATCTCTATCTCATATTATTTGTAGAATATACT